GTTTATGTGTTTATGTGTTAGTCTTGGTGGCTCTTTCACTTCCTTTCCAAGCCATTTTTTTTTAGTAAAGATTTCTGTCTGTATTATTGCTTTTGGGGTAAAATATTCTTGAAGATTTCTCTCTTTTCAATCACATTTTTCATTTAGCTTCTTTCTCCAAAGTGATCTGACTTGTAATTATTTTCTGCTTTGTGGAATAAGACCTTTTAAATTGCCAAGTATATATATGTTACTGCTCTGAGCTTTACTTCATTTGCACCTAACAAATGTAATCAAACTGTGATCACTTGTACCTAGTTCAGTGAGAAATTCATCTTCACCTGTCAGGGTGAGGTCTAGTGTGGAATTCCCTCATGTTGGAGGCAATATCTTTTGCATTAGGAAATTATCTTTTTTTTTTTCAGAAACCCTAAGGATATATTTCAATACTAGCAGCTTGAGACCTCTAGCATGCATCACTCAGGCTGAAGTCCCTGGGTTTTTTATTAGATATTAGGGACGGGGCGGCTGCAGGAAGCAGATTGTGTCGTGGCCCCGCTGCAGCGCAGTGCTCTGCTGCAGACACTTCTCGCCTCGTGCTTTCCTTCCTGCGATATTGATCCGGAATCACTCTAGATCATTTATTCCTGTGTTGCTAATGACTCAGGCTTTCGGCCCTGCCCTGCTTTCGATGCTGCCTCTCCCCAGCTCGTTTCCCCTCCCGCCCGGCTCTCATCCGGCGGGCAGCGGCTCGAAGGGCCGCCTGGCGGAGCCTCCGCTGGGAAGCATGAGCGGAAATCAGATAGGGAAGCTGGCTATAGCACAGGGCTTTAACACTGCGGTCATCGAAGCCTCCCCCCAGCCTGCGGTGTTATGAGCTGCGCTGAGTTCGGGTGTTATTGCATTGCACGCTCAGAAATTCCACCTGGCGCTGCTGTTTTTTCTCCGCTACCGCAGTTAATTCGCTTGGCGTCCTGTGATCTCCCAGTTGGCTTTTTTCGGAGCACTTGCAGACGGGTGCCCTCGCCCCCTCCTGCGCCGCGTTATCAGACCAGCGGATTGCAGCCTCCATCAGCCCGGCCGGCCCCAGGAGACGCTTCCCTTCGGCCGAGGTGGAAGGCCGTTGAGCTCCGCAGCTCCACCGCGGACGGGCTCGTCCTGGGAAAACCCGAACCTCCCTCCTGCCCTGCTGCAGCAGCCTGGACGCAAATTCCACATCTGGCTGCCTTTCCCCTTGCTTCACCTGCGAGACAGGGACGATTTTTGAGAAGATCGCTTTGACGTTCTTCCCCTTGGGCATCATCCGGGTGTCCCGGGGGCCGTCGGCGATTTGTGAGATCCTGCAAAGTCATGCTGCGAGTGCCAAAACCCACCCTGCCCCGTGGAGCTTGGCCCACCGAGGTGGGAAGCGCCGCTGGCTGGGGGGGGCCGGCCTGCCAGCCCTCTTCCACCCATCCCTGCGAATCTTGTGTCATTCTTCGTAGCATCAAATTTCCAGGAAGAATTGCCTGTCTTGGGGGCACGCTGGAGATGCTTTTTTGGGCCGCTGGACTTTTAGAGATACACCCTGCGGGTCCTATGCTGAGGATGCGGCAGCAGCACGGATCCTTGCTCTCTCTCCCTTTTCTCTGCGGCAGGCTTTATTCCATCTACAGCTTAACAACACTTCCCAGGCAGCTTTCCCCAGCAGGCCGGGTCTGCCGGCGCCCCGGAGCGACCGCGCTCATCTTTGCGCGCAAAGGGCTAGCCGGGCGCTGGTTCTGTCCTCTGCGTTTTACGTTGTTTCCAACGCCCAGATGTTATTTTGTCTTCACCCCTCCTCGCTCAGTCGCTTGGTCTGATGGGTACCAGCGATCATCATAGGCTGATTTGCCTTTTATTCTATTTTACTTTCTTTTCTTCCCAAAATAAGAACGCTGTTTTAGGTGGAAGCCCAAGACTCTAATTTATGGCAGAGTCGAGGGTGCTGCTCATTCACCAGGACGCTTCCCAGTTAAAAACAACAGCTGAAGATGCAAAACCACTGAAACAAAACTTCATACTTTTATCCCAAATCTCACATTATCCTTCCCATCCGCAACTGCACCAGACTTATTAAAAAAACCCCGGCAATCCTGTTTAATACATTGTTTAATACATCAGGGAGATGCCTCAAAAAACAAAAAAAATTCCCCCTGCTACTTCAGAGCAGCCCAGATCAGGCCCGGATGCTGCAGCGTTCTCAGAGGTGGCAAGAACATCTCAGGGAGGGGAAAGCCCGCTGGTATTTGGGAATGGTGTGAAATGTAATCTCAAATTTCCTCTCACTCAGCCTTGTGCACATCAGCAGCGCCGTGGAAATACTAACTGATCTGGAAAGGACTCCCCAAGGCAGCAGCGACTGCAGACAACAGGGACAGTGAGCTTTTAGTTTAAGCTAAATCCAGATTTTTGGGTAAAGTCTGGAAAAAAACAGATTTCTTCAGGGAATACAGTTGGATACAGCAGCGTGGCTGGGACAAGGTCAGCCACCACACCACGAACCCCCAGACCCGGCGTCTGGTATTTCCACAGTCTTAGTCTTTATTTGGCTGCCAACATGGGTTTTGGCAATTGTGAGTCCCATCTTAAACACTTTAATAGCCAAGCTGGCCCTTTCTGACCAAACCCTCCGCTCCGACCCCAGGGCAGCAAGACGCGCCGTGCGCACACAACAAAACCAAAATCGGTTCATGAACAAAAGATGTAACATCTGGTTACGTTTTTAGTGTAGAAACTGCCTGCTCTTTGGCCACTAAGTTGCTGTTCCTAAAATAATACTCACTTCCAAACTGTGAAAACAGCCTGCTAGCCCTGCGCTCATGCTTGTCGCTAGTAAACCTTTCACAGCCCCCCCTCTCCCAGCTTCCGGAGCGGATTGTTATTTCTGATTTCTCTGTACAGAGGTTCCATTAAACATGTTATTTTAAACACCTTTTTTATTAGGAGCAGCCTCCCACACTGGCCGGAGATGTATATAGTATGTTGGTGGGTGCACAGGCACTAGCAGCTGGTCTCTATAAACTACTGACCTGCATAGAAGGAATAGCTGGCCATTAATCAACATGCCAATTAACATTTAAAACTACTAGAAACAAACAAAACTGCTGAGAAAATAACAGGAGGGTTCTTGAATTTCTTTTTTTCTCTGCCAAAATTTTTATCTGCGTTTAAGCAAATTTATTTTCATCAGTGTTTTTCTTGGAAAGTTCTGAGTTTTCCACCCCAAGTGTCTCTCCTTCACAAAAAAAAAAAAAAGGGGGGAGTTTGCAGATGCCAAAAAATCGAATATCTGAAGCATGGGATTTAGGGGAATAAAAATGCATAATGAGTACAGTTATCGCATTCATGAAGAACTCAAGGTAGTTTGAAAAGACATTTTCCACTGAAATAATGCTTCAGTGGGAAAATTTCCACCCGCTCTGGTTGCATCTCCTCCTTCCAGCCCTTACGAAGAAGAAGGCATTTCTCACGGACTGGTGCGGTTATGTATTTCAATGGGTAGACAAGAAAATGCATCAATAGAGAAAAACCTAAATGGGAAGCCGCAATCTGAAACTTCCCAGAACACGGACAAGAACGGAGGCAGGTCCTGAATTTAGCAGCTCCTTCCCAGGGGAACGCTCCTGACCCAGCCGGGGCTAAAATCCTCTGGGTTTTGACCGCTAGTGCTTAAAGCTTGGTGTTTACTCGGACCCTTTGCTGAGCTGGGGTCTCGGACCAGAGTCAACAGTCCGATGTCTTGGCTCAAAAACTAACGCTCCGGTAATGACGGTGATGATGGTAGGATGAAAGTATGATCCAGTGCCTCCGGCCTCGCAAGGGCATGGATAATTTCCACAAGAATCATGTTTTCATACATTTCACAGATTTTGCTTCATAGGCAGTAGTGAACATCTTTTTGTTTTCCAACAGACCTCCCTCTTTAATATTTGTGCGTTAATACACGTGTGTGTGTGCGCGCGCATGCATATATACATAGACACACAGGTATGCACACAGATGCTGCAAATATTCGGCACACTTAAAAATAAGCATGTGTATTGCAGGCCCCGGACCCTGCTTACTCCAGAAGCATGAACCAAGCTGTGCTGACTCTGCCTGGGCAGGATTTTGGGTCTTCCACGACCGTGGAAAAAAAAAATCCGTGGGCAGGACTGGAGCTGGCCTTCTGCTGCTTTGCACCTTTCGGCCAGACAGGACCGTCAGGAAATGCAATAGAGGAGGGAAAACGCCAACGGCAGAGGTGGGACC